AGCGCCGCGAAACCGCGCTCTCCTCGAGGCACCAAGCGCGGTCCTTCGCCAGCTGCTGCGCTGGAGGCAGGGAGGCAACCCACTGAGCCGAAGCGCCCCAAGAAGAGAACCGGCCTCCTCAACAGGGCGCTCTCCGCGGCTGGGTATAGCTGGGCCGACTACAAGTGCGGCCGGTGCCGCATCGTGGATTCGAAAGATGCGAACGGTCGGCCTGTGAAGACAGCGGTACCTCGAGAAGGTGCGCCGCCACCCCCGGTGGTAGCGCCACCTCCGATGCCGCCCATGCCACTCCCGCCCATCCCCTTCTTTCTACCGCCACCGATGCCGGCACCGCTGGCGCCTCCTCCGCCGTTCATGCCGCCGCAATTCGCGGCGATACCGGCGGCTCCGCCAGCCAGCGCCGAGCAGCTTCTCGGTATGATGGCCGAGCTGATAGCACTTTGGCGGCAGCAACCCCAGCAGCCGCCCGCTCATCAGGGCGGCCAGCACCCGTGAAGCACACGCTCGTACATCGGCCCGCGGACTTCTCACATCCGCGGCCCCGATTGTTTGACATGGCCCTTTTCGACACCACCATGCTCAGACATCTTCATTCTCTTCACTACTTCCTTTCTCGTTCCCTTCCCAGAGCTCGCTCACTGGGGGGGGAGTACTTGTGGCGTCGCCCTGTACGCTGCAAGTGCAACGAAACCACCGTTCCTCTGAACAACTCGAGTCACCACACACGGGCAACCGTGCTTGGCTTCTCACAGATGGAACTCGGTGGAGACTTGGCTAAGTCTGGGCAACCTAATTTTTGCTGGGCTATGTCGGTTCAGTTGTACCGGCATAATCTGTTTTATACGCTACGTGCACCTAACTATTTGGAGTCAGATCGAGAGATCGTGGTGGACTCCCGGGCTACCCAGCCCGAGTTCCCACATTAACCTTTTCGTTTCTTGAAAATCTTTTTCAAAACCTGTCGTCATCGATGTCAAGATCGATTGCAATTTTCCAAATTTTCCTCTCGTAGCGAAAGGACAGAAGTCAACACATCAAATATATCAATCAAATATCCATCGTAATTCGTTTAAATATCATCAGGCAAAATCGTTTCAAATTGTAGTCCCACCCAAAATCACTCAATTCATAGGGGCGATTTGTAGTTTTTCGTATTCATCACCATGAAATCTTTTCCTTCAAAGTCGGTTACATTTTCATTATAGTCAGAGTAAAATTTCCTTTGCGTCTTGACTGAGACACTTTCTCAATTCTCAGTCTTTGCCATGTATCTTCTATATAATAAAATCTGTTGAAGCCTTTTTTCTGATTGGATGTTGGTCACGTGACCCGGGCTGGCGGGCACCGGACAACGAAAGGGACCTTATGGGCGGAGCCACATCGGGCCAGCTCGTTTCGTATTAAAATTTCAGTCGAATTGAGGCAACTACTTAGCTCCTTGCAGATTACAGCTGCGATTAGCTCTTCGTCATAATAAAAACAAAATTAAAATTAGACATCATCTTTCGCATTTACCTGGCCTATTTATGTAGTCGAATGTGTGAACAATAAAAGGATAGTATTCATTCTAGTAGTCGAACCCTTAATCCTCATCGAAGCTTTCTATGCCGATTGCCGTCTAAAAATTATCAGACAATACACTGTCGATAGAGCGGAAAAAATATCAAACGTTTCTCGAGTTTTATTAGCTTTTTCAATATCATGCAGATTCCATATTTCCTTTGGTTCGATTTTCGTATCCTATCTATTTTTTCTATCGTTTTCCTGAATGAAGTCACACGTATCCACAGGTGTGACCAGTTCTCATAGTCTGCAGTGAACGTGTAGCCCAAATTTACCTTTTGATTTTTGCCTCGTAGAGTGTTACTGAGAAGTCTTCGTCTCTCATTGCTCACAATAAAACTTTCAAAAACAAGTCTTTCAGAATCGTTTCAATTCCTGAAATCTAATATGAGTTCACTTACGAGTACAGCTTTAAACCAAACCTTTGATTCAAACGGCCATTTGCATAAGAGTTCACGTGTGAAATATGAGCCACGATTAGCGTGAATTTTTGTTTCGTATTTATCATCGGTCGAATTTCCTGCATAAGTTTCTAGTCGTCTATAACTTTCTTCATAGATTAATAGATAATTTCACCGGCTTACGTGTTTGTTCAATGGAGGGTGATCTCGTGGTTCTCGATTTTCGAGTTGTGTCGAACAGAATAAAATCGCTTTTCCAAAATCATTTCCGTTTGTAGAGGAGTTTTTCTTACGCTCTGCTACCATGTTAGTTGTAAATTGAACTCAAAACTTCACATTAATTATTTCCTGAAATCTTTCATAAATCGATAAAGAACTTGGATAATTCGCACTTCAGCTCTTGTATCAAGTGAAGGGAAAAACCGTTGTTCAATCAATCATTCATTTTCCTGTAGTCATGTGTTTTGGTGGCCAGTAAGTTGTTGGGTGGTTGGAAGGTGTAGTGCCGAGAATAGCTGCTTGGAGAGCGCTAATCAACAACAAGAAACTCAAAAGTGGCGTAATTAGGGATATGGCGTAATTAGGGACACCTACCTTATTTTGTATTTTTAGTTACTTTGGAAACAAAAAAAAAAGTGTCATCCATTTTTAGAAAATTTAAGATTTTTAATTATAGCAAACCTCAATACGAGTATGCTTCAAAAAAGGGCTATGAGAGTGAAATTCTATGGTCTACCATTTAAACATGTACCCTTTTTGTCACCTATAGTGTTGCCATTGTAGCAGTATGCGCACTATGGAAATTTACATGTTATCTGTTTTACCAAAAACAGAATTTTTGAAAATTGTCTCACAAAACATGTCATATCTTACGCTGTTCAACGTTTAAGACGAACAAAGGAATGAAGTTGGAATCCTGTCCTATGTTATGTACTTATGTATTTATTCAAGTCAAGTGTGTATTTTCTGCACGTTGAAAATCACTTGCTTCAAGTTCGTTCCAAATAAAAAGTTTACCCTATAATTTTCAAAACAAAATCCTGTGAGAAGATACAAATAAATGTAGTTGTTAGTCGCAGATAGACTTGAAATCAAAGTTGACTCGCAGTGAAATTTTATTTCAATAGTATACAACGGTGATTACAGTTATGTATTACTCAATACTCATATACAGGGTGTCCAAAAAGTAACTCAATCCTAGGCTGCTGTGTGAAAGTATACAGGGTGTTGCACATCAAACTGCAATATTGCGGGGACAGTACAACTCGCCACCAGCAAACTCGCCACTGGCAACTCGCTACCAGCAAAATCGCTGCTGGCTACTCGCCACCCAGACAACTTGCCGTTGAGACATTTGCCACCCAAGGGAGAAATTATCCACCAGGGAGAGCACTTTGCTAATGCTCCCACCTTTATCACTGGATCAACAAAAATACCTCCATTCAGCCAGTTCTCAGAATATAATTTAAAAGGTTCAAAATATTTGCAAACATGAATCAGTCTAGCCAATGTTACGGTATCGCAAAATAAGTAAAAATATTAAAAAAACAATTCAATAATATAACCGCCAAAACTTAAGTTGCTGTTGAGAAACAAGAATCATTGAAAACTTTTTTCTCAATCACTGTAATGGGAAAAAATTGTCACTAAGGTTAGACTCCACTTTCGGATTTATAATGCAGCAATTTTAAGTAGAAATTTCAGTCATAAGTAATTATCTCCAAAAGTGTCATCAAAATCTGATGATTTTTCTCATAAAAATTAATCCATCGGAACATACCCTTGAAAAATACTTTTCTGTTCAAACTTTTCAAAAAATATCAGAATGCCAAATGCTTGAAGCTGAATTCGCTTTCAGCTTTCAAATTTTCCTATAAAGCTTTAGGATTTTGACTTTCTCATTAGAAAAAAAATCCGTGTCGAAAATCAGGCTAGTTACCATATCCTTGCTCATTCGATTGAAAACGTAAATATATCCTCCTCGATCAAATTTTTTTTGCCCTTTTTGAGAAACAATATCCATCATTTATAGGTACATAAGTATTAGCTAAATATTGAAAAATCCTGTATACCAATACGAGAAAGCTTGGGAAAATTGATATGTGGCCAGCAGTAACACCATATGACTTCAATTTGGTTCTGCATAAATACTGAAAGCCTTGAATCATGGTCTACCATGAGTGCAACTTTCATCAATTCAAGTTTATAATGTTGAAATTACTTATGTACAAGAACATGAATAATTGCACATCAATTTATCAACGAAAATACTTTTTGATGTGTAAACATCTTTCCTTTCACTTCACTATGGGAGTAATTGGGCAAACGCGACAGAAGAAGGTTGAAAAGGAGGAGCAGAAAAAATGTTAAACAAATGTACAAATGTTAAAGCGTTGCGTTTGCGCCTGGAGTTTTTCTCACTGTTTTTTTTTTGTTTGCTGTTTTAAAACACAATGATTGTAGTTCTGAAGTGGCGTAGTGGTAGTGTCGTGCTTTATAATCTTAGGGGTGCGTGTTCGAGTCCCAGGATGAGCAGAGAGATAGAGATTTTTTTACAATTTTTTTTTTTCAAGATAAATTATTTCGAGCAGACAATCACTAATAGGTAGATGTTACACATTGAATGTAACAGTGCAACTGAAACTTGATCTTTTTTTTTATTTAGCTTTGCATGCTAGGAGCTACATTAGAGTAATGTTGTACACATCTTCAAATGTTTTCAATATGGTCTGCGACTAAAGTTTTCGTGCATTTTGTGAGGTCTAGTGTTTGATCTGATCCGTTGATAATTG